AAGGAAAAGGCCTTGGGAATGTTCAAGGCAGTGGAAGCTCACCTCTTGGCAAATCCTGATGCCTACAATTAGGCCAAACTTTTAAGTAATTTATGCCTGGAATGTCATATTGAAATTGACGTGTGTTTGTCTTAATTTCCTTTTGAAAGAGAGTGGTCTTTGTAATTTCTTTTGCCTAGTCGCCTTTGGCTGGGCTGATAAGAGCTTTCAAGCTAATTAATTAATGAATTGTCTTGTTTTTCAATTCAAATATATAAACAAAAAAAAAGCATTTTACGACCATTCAATTTATTATTTAATTTAATTAAATGTGAATAAAAATATATAATAGTACATAGTATGAGAGATTGAAAGAGATAGTTCAATAACAAAATCCAACTTTAATTTTATTATTGATAAACTTATTATACTAACTTATTAAAATCTTTAACGTTTTGTTTTAATTTTTGAGATATACGTGATGTGGTAAATGCCGTCAAACATCACAGACATTGAAAGGAAAAGATGAAAAAGGAAGAATGAGCATTGAAAAAAGACTCAAGTCTTTGAGGTCCTAACTTTGGAAATGCTAAACGTGAATGATCACTATAAGTAAATTCTTTCATGAACTCCCGATCGAGACTTGAAAATCATGTAAAATAATAAAAAAGAGCAGTTAGTCAATTGATTTTTTTATATTTTTTACAATAACTTAGTCAATTGAATTAAATCAAAACATCCAAATTGATCAATTTTTTAATGATTAAACTCCACTTACATTTTTTGTTATTTTAACCTTTTTCACGTGATAATTTGTAATTTTTTTTAATTAACATCCTGATAATGGATTAAATACTTAATTTGTCTCAATTTTGGAAAAAAAATCCACAAGTTATTAATTAAGAAAAAAATCACAAGGTACAATATAAAAGTTGGGAAAAGTAGATTCTTCATATAGAACAAAATCAAAACTAACTAAATTATTATTTATGAAAATTTTGAGTGCATGTAAAAATGTAATTCAAATAAAAAAAATCGACTCCATCCCGTCAAACTATTCTTCTTCTTTTGTTGTGATCAGATAAAAGTCTCTCCAGCTTGACGGACGATCTTAAAAGCACCTTCATCCGCAATCGAATCATTTTTGTTAGGATGGACCAAGAGCTCTATGTCCTTGTAATGTTTCTTCATGGTAGTATCATCAACGGAAGAACAATCTTCTATAAAAAGAATCGAATATAGGACTTCAGTATTATCCAGTTTCATCTTCTTGCAAAGGCTTAACATGAATAAAATAGGCTGCAATGTATTAACTCAGAGTTCAA